CCCAAAACCCCAAAACCCCAAAACCCCAAAACCCCAGCTAGGGCCAATTATATTGAAAATTAAATTCAATTTAAATAATCTAAAGTGAGTGCAAATACAGAAATCGCAATGCCTGGGGTGGATCAGAGCTTACCTCTTATCTTACTCCAATCTGTAAAAGAATTCTGCAGCATCGATTGACCTTTGTCGCTGTTTAACCGAATAGTTGTCTTAAAAGCCTTAACAACTAGTATTTTATGGCAACTTCTTTCATTGAGAATTTGTTTTTCTGGTTCTTTCTTATCTGCGTTTCTTTACTTCTTCTGAGATGATTCGCTCAAAATCAGTTTGAGACGTTTTCTGTTTTAATAAAATTTCAGTTGAGCCCAATTTGAAGGAAATAAATAATATCTGGCTCACAAATAGCAAATCACGATTCTTTCTGTGGCTTTAATTACAGTATATAATAGCAAAGGAGAATTTCTAATGCTATTTTATATTAATTCTACAGCTTTTAGCATTCCTTGGTGAAACTATCAAATCTGAGCCTCAATTCAATAATTGGTAATTAGTGGCTTTGGAAATCACCGATAATGAACAATATATTGCCCCTCTTTTCATATTGATGGGTAAGGAAAAGTGCTGCTAATTAAAATAATTTTTACTTTCACTCAGTGTGGCATCAATTTAGATGATTTTGTTCCCATCAAAAATAGTTGTTAGTGTGAAGCCCAGAAGAATCACAAATAGCAATAAGATGACTCCTAGGATCTAGAGTTAAGGATTTATTTTACACGATTAAGCTAGAAAATTCTCAGTCTCATTATCTAATGCACAGGAATCTCATATGAATCAAACAAATCTCTTATCAATCGCATGAAATTGTCTCAGAAGTTGAACTGCTTCTAAATTCTGATCAATAGCAATAATGTGCTTTTCAAAATAATTTCTAATCTTCTTACAATCTCTTTCGTTCTTTATTTTACTAAGGTAATGCTCAATAATTCTAGTTCAGATATCTCTATTCTTACACAAGTCTTTTGATTTTCATTTGGCATTATTCCTTATCGAACTTATTCAAAAAATTATGAAAAATAATGAAAATTTCAAAGGAAAATCGTGAGTTTCTTGAAAACTGCCAAGGCTAATTCTCGCATTTTATTATAAGTTTTCCCAATTTTCCTTTTTAAAGCAAAATATAGTTTCTCACTACATGTATTTGCAGAGTAAGCATGATTTTCTAGTCATCGGGAAATAAATTCTTTACAAACTGACATTGGAAATATTATTCCCAATATTTTTATTAACTGTGGGGTTTTGGGGTTTTGGGGTTTTGGGGTTTTGGGGTTTTGGGG